AGGAGGAGATTGTCTGTTTCCATGTTCTTGTGATGGTGAATAACGTTGCTATGAACATTGCTGTACAATTCCATTTGTGCCTCAGTTCTTATTTTCTCAGGGTTTATTCCAAGCAGTAAAATAGCTGGGTTATATGGAATTTCTGTGTTTACCTTTCTGAGGAAACGCCAAACTGCCTTCCAGAGAGGTTGTACCATTTTACAATCCCACTAACAGTGTATAAGAGTTCCTATCTCGCCACATCCTCTCCAATATTTATTACTTGCTGTCCTGTTGACCTTTGCCACTGCTCCTGAAGTAAAAGGGTGTCTCATTTTTATTTGCCTCTCTCTTATTGTCAGTGATTTTGAGCATTTCTTCATGTGTTTGTTAGCCATTGAGATATGTTCAGCTGTGAAAATTCTTTCCATGTGTTTTGCTATTTTGTAATTATGTGATCAGTCTTTTTCTTGTGGAGACCCTATAGGATTCTATAAATTATTAATACCAGAGCCTTGTCTGAAATTATATTGCCAAATTTTTTTCCAGTCAGTAGCATTTCTTTTCACTCTGTTGGAAAAAGTTCTTGATACACACAAGGATTTAATCTAAAGTCTTCTAAAAACTAAACATACATAGTTCCATTTAACTATGATAGTAAAAAAAAAATCTGCCTAGAGCATTATGCTCTTTAAAGAATTATATATGTGGGATCAAACTGACATCAGCAACCCAAAAGATTAGATAGAAACCTTAGGTGTCAGTGAATATATATTAGTGTTGTTAGGTTAAGCTTAGTCATCTGTGACTCATAGTGGCCCTTGGAACAACAGATCGGAGCCCTCCCCTATCTGGTGCCATCCTTACCATCTCTGATATAACTCAAGCTCATTGTTGAAGGTCACTGTATCAGTCCATTTTATTGGGATCTTCCTTTTTCTGATCTTCCTCCTTTCCCAGCATGATGTCCTCTTCCAAGGGCCCCTCCTGACAATACACCTAAAGTATATGAGATGAAATCCATATGTAATGAGGGAAGAACAACTCTAAAAGGGAGGATGAGAAAGATTGTACAACTCCAAGAATGTAATCATTGTCACTGATTGTTTGTAGAACCTATTGAATTGATGTATGTTTTGCTGTGCATATTCTATTCCTCTCATGGGTTTTATTCCCTGTTGTGTTGTGTGCTGTCAAATCAGATCTGACTGGCACAGGCATATTCTAAACAACAATACCATTTTTAAAAAGCCCAGCAACTCTGTGGAGCCTACTCTGTACACATAGGGTCACAGTGAATTAGAAGTGGCTCGATGCCAAGTAAGAACAATGGTCCAAATTACAGAGGACATTTTGAATGTGCTACTTTCTTTCTTTCTTTTATTTTATTTTATTATTTTTGTGTGAGTGTACCGTCAAATCAGATCTGACTGGTACAGGAGGAGATTGTCCCTCCTTCCCCGGCAGAGCATCTGGTGGATTTGAACCATGCGCCTCTGGGATTGTAGTTGCAGCTCCTTGCCACTAGGCCACCAGAGCTCCCCTAAATGTGCTACTTTCTAATGAAGGTGTTCACTGAGACTCTACCATAACACACTAGGCTCAGGCTTTGGGAGCAACTATCCGCCTTCTCCAGATGTCTGTTGCACAAATCTCGCTGCTAGCAAATCAAACTGATGCTAGTAGTTCTCTTACTGCTTCCGATTGATTTTTGCTTTGTAGTATCTTTATTTAACTTATATGTAACTAAATTTGTCAGGTTTATTTAAAAATATCTAAGAAAGTTAAATCTTGACCTTCTTAATTATGTTTTCATTTTCTTTCTCAAGATGGGGTGAAGAATTTTCGTTGTCCAAGCACCCTCAGGTATGTTTTAAAAAACTTAGCTTTTAAAAGCATTTTATACACCTCACTGTGTGGTCAGCTGTTTGATACTGAATTTTAACCAAGTCTAATAAATCCATCTAGTTAAAATGTTAAGTTTCCCTCTAACATCTGTGACCTATCCAAATATCGTAAAATGCTATTATTTTCCACATCTGATATAGCTAATTAGGAGTTAACATTTTGGGTTCTAGAATCAGGTTTACAGATCATTCAGGAAGAGTGTAAACGGTCATTACAAAGACAGAAGAGGAAGAAAAGACCAAAATGGATGTCAGAAGAAACTCTGAAGATTGCACTGGAGCGTAGAGAAGCCAAAG